GCGGAAGTAGCTAACTACCCAGCTAGCCGCACATTAGCTGGTTTAACGAGTTCTCAACGGATACCTTGTTTACAACACTACAGAAACTTTTCAAACAATGTAAGAAAACCTTATATGCTTTGACAGACACTTCGGCGTTGTTCTCTGTCGTTTTCAACTTGTTTTAATTCAGTTTAAAAGTGTCATGTTGGGGAGTTTACAGTCACAACGCTGGTGTCTTGGGTGTGGGACACTGTGTTTCCTTACTTTTATTATCGAGCCTAAAGTCACCTGTTTTTCAAGTGAACCTCGTTAAATACTTGCTCAGCACTTTACTGTTTTCCTCTGCTGTTGAGATAACCAAGGACAGGTGCAGTGGTGTAAAGTAACTAAGTACATTTACTCAAGTCCTGTACTTAAGTACAATTTTGAGGAACTTGTACTGTACTTGCGTATTTCAATTTGTTGCTTCTTTGTACTTCTACCCCACTACAATTCAGAGGAGAATATAGTACTTTTACTCCACTTCATTTGTTGTATACCTTTTTAGTTATTTTACCGATTTGGATCATTCTTAATGAGACTTTAGTTACACCTGGAGTAAATTCATAATCGACCCTGGAGTATACAAAGCAATAATAACTAGCTTTACCAGCTTGATAAACACATTGAATATATCAATAATTATAATCAAAACGTATAATATATTATACTGAAATGTGCCAATCTGCATAATGAGTACTTTAAGTATATTTTGATGCTCATACTTTTGTACTTTTATTTGAGTAACATTTTGAAAGCAGGACTTTTACTTGTAACAGAGTATTTCTACACTCTGGTACCTATACTTTTACTTAAGTACAAGATCTGAGTACTTCTTCCACTTCTGGTCAGGTGTGTGTGGACACAGTATTGCATATATTTAAATGAAACGATGGAAATGATTAACAATATCATACGTGTACCTATTTCTTCCATTATGATTGGCTGCTGTAGTAAAAAGAGTTGACGATTTGTAAAACCCTCCCACACATAATGCTATGAAAGAAATTAAACGTCATGTTTCTTTTATGTTTTTCCTGTACAGCATGATGTCATTGACCTTCCTTCTGGCTGTTTGTTATTGTAACATTAGGTCAGCATTATCAGTAAACCACCCTGCCCAAAACGTTTCACACTTAACCGTAATGGGTTGTCATCAATGAGGAGTGGGTGTTGGGGAACTGTTGAAAAAGTAGCCTTTTAAGCTTGCTTGTGAAAAAAGATTAAGCTGGAGGATATGCATATAGAAAGATATGAATAAGAAAAGATGTCAGTGTGTGGTGTACTCACATCTGGAGGAACAGGTTTGGGTAGAAGAACAAGAAATGTGCTTCCCTGTTTGAGCTATTGTGTTAAGAAACAGGCTGTTGGTGCTGTCAGGACACTTCAACATGAATGTCCTATAGGCTTGGTAAATGATTCTTCTTGTGGCTGTGAACACATGTAAAGTGGTGTCAGAGTCTAGGGTTGTTATTGGGTGTGATGTGTGAAAACATATGGCTTCCTGTTGTATTATTATGGGCTCAAATTGCTCAGGGAATAAACAGATCTAGTGTTTACCCGTGTATGGCTAGGCTGTAACCTTCTCATCAGTTTTTCATGAGTATAGATCAATATTCAGCGATGGAGAGGTTTACGCTTTACTGGCACTTGTTATTGAAATGTAAGTGTTGACATGTTCATCTGCTCTTGTTGTGGTTTGACATTTCAAAATGAAGCATTGTGTGTAAATGAGTTCACCTACAGTGTTATGGTGGTAAAAGCACATCAATATCTTGCCAAGTTCAATAATCGGTTAGAAAAGCAGTCGAGCCTGTGTGAACCGAGTGCCCTATTTGCAAAAAAGCAGAGTCAACAACATTAAATCATCTGAACTGTCTGCCAAGTAGACTTTCCCTTTTCCCTTTTTGTTTCTATCTCAGGATGTTTGGTTGCTGCAGGTTTGAAAGGCAACTCAAAGTTCAGGGGTCATTTAGAAAAACAGGAAAATGCTACTTGAACTTTTAAAGGAAAGAGTAGACCGGAGAGGAAGAAGGGAATACAGCTGTTTCCTGATCTTTAAAACAAAACAAAACAAAAAGTCCGAGCTTGTGTTTTATGACTAACCACGTCTTTGCTGAAACGTACACTGTTCCTGCATCACAGAAAAACCAGCTCAAGTTGTTTACTTTGAATGATCTCTATCTCATGTTACCTTGTGCACCAAAGGCTGACATTACACCGGTGTATTCAGTGCACGCTGTGACGCTGGGCTGCAGGAAGATCACTTGATGCGCAAATCAGATATAGTTAGGATTTGATCTGCTAAACCTCTCTGCAAGGTAGCCTAGATCATGCTGTGATCAGAATGTTTCCCCATGGATTAAAACGCAGTGAAACCACACCCATAGCATTGCTCAAGTTCTGTCTGCTTCCATCCGTCAGTGTAGGGGTTATACCTGGAATCCTAAAATACTGGCCAGGATAACGTCGTGACATAATCGTCCGATCCTTACCTCTAATGGCGCATTTCCACTGCAGCGGGTAGCCCCGTTTAAGCGTCCTTAATCGTCCTCAAGTGGCCAGGCCAGTTTTTGGTGGCCTTTCCATATAGCGTAGCAACGGCTAGCGGGTACTTTTTCCCTCTTTTTCCAGCCCCATAAAATCGTGGTTCTATCAGGCCAGGGCTGAACTAGTGACGGCAACACTCTCGACTGCTGATTGGTCAGAGAGAATCGTCTTGCAGCATTTTTATACACAGCATTTTTGTAAACGGAGAAGCTACAAAAATGGCGACGTCAAAGAAAAGCACACCGTGGTCGACCGAGGAGGTGACGACGTTACATCTCATTTGGGATGATAAAATCCAGCGGGAGCTCGACGGAACAACTCGAAATGTGAAAGTGTTCCAGGATGTCCCAGCACAGATGCCCCGCCCACACTGCGTTGCTACCCCAGGTCCTAAACTGTAATGGAAATGCGCCACGGCCTCGGACGGCCAGCGAGGCAGCCCAAGGCCTGAGCGAGGACGCTTAGGGACGCTTAAACGGGGCTACCCCGCTGCAGTGGAAATGTGCCATAATAGGGGCTTTTATTCTGATCCACTTCTCTTAGTTATACCTTGCCTGAACTCCAAAGTCTACTAAGAACAAAATGTTAAATTGCACAACAAGTAGCCCTTAGTGGTCAACCACGATGAGCACTTCCTGCTGCTGGTTAACGGTGAAAACCTCTCAGCGGCACTTCCTCACATCATGCCCGCTGTGCTGTGGTACATTTTGTGCAAGATCATGACATCTCCATTTTAATCAAAAACATAGACTCTGCATGGAGCTATTAAGTGAGGATGCAATTTATCCTAATGTGATTAACTGTGGGAGTTCATTCCACAGGAAGTCACATGAGATCACTTGTAGCCTAGTATAACTAAAGTATCTGGGCTTTCTTAAAACTAAAGCTTTCTTTTTCTCACCGAGAACTTCTAAGGCCCCATTTTTTTGTTTTACTTTTGAGGAACAAAAGTTAATGTCTTCACCATTGCTCTTTAGCCGATTCAAAAGCAGATTGTATCACCTCTGCTGTTACGCAATCCCCTTACAGACCTTGTGAGCATGTAGGCTTAAAAAGAAACAAAACGGCTCATCATTTCATGCAATTTACGGGGCTGTATGAAATGAAAACTAAAATGGTCATCCAAGCTTTGTCATTGATTTAGTTTCTTGTTCCTTTTCTATCAGCAAGCGTGTGTCCAGATTCCAAACACTCTTCCAGGGGAATGGCTCAATTTGTATAGGTTTTGCATCTCCTTCTTCCCCCTGACATCAACATGTTGTTTTCATGCAGTGACATGTTTGGTCCTTTTTAGAATAGTTCTCCAAATTAATTTTATATGAGTAACCCTCTGGATTAAAGTGTGTCCACTACAGAATGCTCTATGTATTCAGTCTTAATGTAAAACTGAATCTAGGTACCTTTTACCAAACATGTTTGGCGTGTGTGTTATTAGATTTTCTAAACTACCAAATATTGATCTCAATATAGCTCTCAAGAAAACAGTATCTATTATCCATAATTAAAACATTGAATTGACATCAAGCTAATTATATCTCAGTGCTGTACTTTGCTCTTGGTCTTTCACATCTTTAGAGTATCTTTTTATAGTTGCCTACAGTCAAGCTGGGTCTCAGGTTTGTTTGAGTCTTGGAGTTTTATGATAGCCGATGCCCACTGATGGGATCTCTCTTAATCCTCCTCTCTTTCAGGCCGCAGAATATCGAGCTCGGAGCAACGGGGGGAACCTCCAAAATGGACAGCAGCAAAAGGGAAGACATGAGTGTGGAGCAGATGACCACGAGGGCCAACCAAGTGACTGACGAGGTACTGAGACACACGCGTGCACACACACACACACACACACTACTTACTTACTTACTTACTTCTTTCTTCCTTGAAGCAATATTCTGTCCAAAATCGTTCAGTATCGCTAAAACTGTATTAGTACTTGCTAATGCTCAAACTGCGCAAGCTACAGACAAAAGCTGTTGAGCTCAGAGTATTTGTGGATAATGTGGCTGGAGTGTTTTTTAAAAGTTTCTATGGTAGATATTTTTTAAACCTTTCTTTGGGAAAACTTCATTTTAATAGTCAATCATTTCTAACTGATTCTCTTGGACATTTGTTGGAAAATAAAAACAAATATATTGCTCTAACTGTTAGGTGTCCAATTCATTCATCTGCAATGCGACATTAGTCCGAACAGTCTTATTAATATTCATGAAAGTTAAATGTCAATCTCGATAGAAATGAATCACAATGTTTGGCCTGCGGGAGTAACTTAGGGAATACAAATAAAGGTAAAAGGTAGCAGCAACAAAAATGCTGGTTCTTTTTCTCCTCGTCCTCCATGGTGTTTGTATGTGAACTAAGCTCAAATCAAGGCACAAAGGACGAGCTGAACATGCAAACATTTTGATTTGTCTAGTTAAAAAATGTATTGTAATATGTCCAATGAAGGTTAGACTATTACATTCATAATGAATCAATATTTACTTCAGTTTAACTTGAGCTTTTATTCAAAGGGAAAAAATATCTTCGCTGCCAACTTTTACAAAACACTGTTTCCCTTCATTCTGGAAAGGGAGATTTTGGGTGGAAATCCCTTTTTTTTCTTTTTTTTATTCAAGACAAAATTAGTGATTTTGCACACATGCTAATTATGCACAAACAAACAAAAGCAATCAGGACAATGGGATTGTTGTTGCGACTAAGGAAATGCTGCGAAAACTAAGGGAATAGTTTTAAATTGCTCTTTTAATTTGAATCTCATGATATGTCCAACTACATGTATAAAGCAGCAGCCAGTTAGCTTAGCTGCTTAGCATTAAACACTAAAGAAGGAGAGGGAAACTGTTAGCCTGGCTCTGTCTAACGGTTAGTTAATAAAAGTACCCCATGCAGACATTAGAGCATAAAAAAATCCTTTTAAAGGTCACCTATTATCCAAAATCCACTTCTTCATGTCTCTTCTACATCAACATGTTTCCCCTCTGTGGAAAGAGACTCTGAAAGTTTCAGGTAAAAATATTCTCTCTCTTCTTGTCCTGATCCATTTCTATAAAAACCTGTCTGAAAATGAGCTGATCAGATTTTGGCCACTTTATGATGTCATAACGATTTTTTGGCTTGTGTAACCAATTAGCCAATCAGCAACCAAGGTAACCCCCCCCACCCTTTACCTGAATCTCCTCTAAGAGGACCATTGAGTTTCTTTGTAACAAATATCTCTCGAGGGGCGTGGGGAGGGGCTCCTTACTTTCGTCTAAAGTAACAGACAGAAAATCAGCACTTTTGAAACAGGGCTGAAACAAGGGATTATGGGGTAATGCTACAAGATTGTTGGTCTTCAGGACAAACACTTCGAAGACCATGTTTGTACTATATATCTGAGACCTGTATATATTGATGGAAACAGAATATAGGGGCCTTTATTTAACACACATAATCAGATTATCATTGTTGTGATGTATAATCATTTCAGACATGCCCACGTTGAGACCCGAACATTTGACAAGTGTGTCATCCATCTCTAGGGGAACATCAATTACCAGGCACATATCATATTATCCTGGGGTCTTAAAATTCAGTAGCATGGAAAGACAGAGGGTCTGTAATTAGACTCATTGTGTTCACAGTTGATTATAAGCCACGCATTACTTAATGGGAAGTCTGTGTGTGTTGTGATCGTGTGTGTGTTGTGTGTGTGGCTTTCCACCTATTTAGCTTTAGCTCCCCTTTTCCCCTTCTGCGCTTTTGACAGTTTGAATGTTGTCAGCTATATCCCCAGGATATCCAAGTGTTTTTTTATTCAAGGAGATAATTGTTCATCGGCACCCCAGGTATGATTCAGCATTCTGATCAAACGGAGAAAACACCT